AAATTACCTATAAAAATTTCCAACTATTTCACACACACACACACACACACGTGCCCCTGTGCTTCTAAATACATAGATAAGCTTGTAAATATCTCCAGAGAAAAATTCAACATATGAAAGATCAATAATATATTATATGATGATAAACACATGGAAATTGAACTAGTAAGTGATAAATTACTGTAGTGCAGAAATATGAAATGTATAGGTATTAATTTGACAAAGGCAATACCAGAGCTATATGATGAAAACTGTAGAGAAAGAAGTGAAAAAGATTCACTGTGTTCATGGATTCTCAGTACTGTTAAGAAGTAAATCTCCTAAGAATTTGCCTATAGTACAGTGCAATTATATCAAAATTCCAAGAAAAATGTTGCATACATATCATCAAACATACCCTAAAATTGACACCGGAAAGGAAAGAAATTAGAATAGTGAAAACTGACACTATGTAATTTAAATAGTTATTATAAAGCTACAATAATTAGGACAATGTAGTATTGGGGAGGTATTTGCTGCCTGCAAATCCCTGTGCTGGATCCTTTAAGTCAAAATGATAGACCTTTTGCTGAGCATAAAATGATGTGTCTGAACATACAGTTATTTTAGTAGAAAACTTTGGCATGATGTGACTTGGCAAGATGACATGAAACACTGCTTGGGGTTACAAGAATAGAAGTGTCTTATTAGAAATCTGAGAAGCATAATGAAGGCATCCAGTATTGATACAAGAATAAAACTTCATTTTAATATAAGTCACACAAGTATAAACACCTTAGTCACATAGTATCTGAAACCCTATCTAAATCCAAGTTACATCAAGCCTTCCTTTACTTCTTGTCTGGTACTTTGATCACTCTACAGAAGAAAATGAATACGTTTTGAAATGGACCATAATAAGCTATTAATTATCAAGAGTAATAAAGAAAAGGAGTTTATGATTTTTGAAATAACCAAAGTGATTGAGTTACTCCCCTTTAATAGATTGGATGATATTTAATTTAGTATGAAAAATAGTAAATTATTATTATTAATGAAATATTTAAAGAATTTATACCGATATCATAGCACTAAAGTACTATTATTGATCATATATTGAAAAATTCCAATTAATATAGTAATTAAATACCACTGACCTTCTGTGGAAAGCATTCACTTTAATATAAATAACAAAACAGTTGTCCCATATCCAACATATTTGAAATTGTAGAACAAACAAGCCTCACCAAATAAAATTAATGAGAATAAATAACTTATGATAGACATATAAATATTAAAAAGGAAGGAATAGAATGACTTGCAGACATTCTGTATTCTTGAAAACTCATTGGTTATATCAGTTGAAAAGCTAAAGAACATCTGTAAATTTAGTAAACTTATAAGAAGTCAATAGCTTTTTTATATTTGAGAATATGAAGAAATATCTCATTCTCTAGAGCAAAGAATCTACAAAAAATTAGTAAAATGATTCTTTAAAATACCTATATAATGGAATATATATATATATATATATATATATATATATATGAGTATTTGAAATATATAAGAAAACAAACCTTTTTTTTAATGCTTGTGTTTTTTCCTGCATGAAGATCTGTGTACTATGTGCTTGCTTGCTGCCCATGTAGACTAAAAGAGGTCATTGAATCCTTTGATACCAGAGATCGAGGTTGTTGTCAGCTACCATGTGGGTGCTAGGATCTGAAATTAAGTCCTCAGGAAGGACGGCTAATCTATTTAGTTACTGAGACATATCTCCAGTCCCATTATTTATTTTAAAGATTTGCTTATCTTTATTTTATGTGTGTAAGTGTTTTCCCTGGATGTATGTAGTGCCCGTGGAGGCCAAAAAGGGCATCAGAACTCTGGAGCTGGTGGTATAGACAATTGTGAGCTGCCATACATGTGCTAGGAGCTGAACCCCAGGAATCTTTTTCTTTTTCATTTGTCGTTATTAAGAAATTTTCTACTCACTCCACATACCACCCACAGATCCCACCTCCTCCCTCCTCCCACCCCCTAGTCCTCTCTCCCAAGTCACACCGCATCCCCACATCTCCCAAATCAAAGTCTCCCATGGGGAGTCAGCAGAGCCCAGCACACTGAGCCTAGGCAGGTCCAAGCCCCTTCCCATTGCACCAAGGCTGTGCAAGGCATCGCACCACAGGCACCGGATTCCCAGAAGCCTGTCCATGCACCAGGGACAGATCCCGATCCCCCTGCCTGGGTGCCCCCCAAACAGTTTTAGCCAAACAACCATCTTCTGTATCCAGAAGGCCTAGTCCAGTCCCATGGGGGCTCCACAGCCACCAGTCCACAGTTCATGGGCTTCCACTAGTGTGGCGGTCATTTCTGCATATCCTCCCATCATGATCTTGATGTCCCTCTCCTGCAGAATTCCTCCTCTCTCATCGATTCGGTTCCCAAAGCTCAGCCTGGTACCTGGCCATGGATCTCTGCATCTGCCTCCATCAGTCACTGGACAAAGGCTCTATGATGACAGTTAGGTTATTTGCTAGACTGGTCACCAGAGTAGACCAGTCCAGGCACCCTGTGGACCACTGCCAGCAGACCAAGGTGGGGTCATCCTTGTGGATTCCTGAGAGCCTCCCCAGCACCCTGCCTCTTCTTATTCCCATGATGTCCTCATATATCATGGTATCTCCCTCCCCGCCCTCCCACTCTGTCCCTGTTGCAGCTTGACCCTCCCATTTCCCTATGTTCTCATCCCCCACTCCTTGCCCTCTGCCACCCCCCCACACCCAGTCTACTCATGTAGATCTCATCCACCTCTCTTTTGCAGGGTCATCCATGTGTCCCTCCTAGGGTCTTTCCCTATTAGCTCTCTGGAGTTGTGGATTGCAGTCTGGCCATCCCTTCCATCTTACACCCATCAGAATGGCTAAGATCACAAACACTAAAGACAGCTTATGTTGGAGAGGATGTAGAACAAGGGGAACACTCCTCCACTGTTGGTGGGAATGCAAACTTGTACAGCCACTTTGGAAATCAATATGGTGCTTTCTTAGAAAATTGGGAATCAATCAAAGACCCAGCTATACCACTCTTGGGCATATACCCAAGGAATGCTCAATCATACCACAAGGACACATGCTCAACTACGTTCATAACAGCATTGTTTGTAATAGCCAGAACCTGGAAACAACCTAGATGCCCTTCAACTGAAGAATGGATAAATAAAATGTGGTACATATACACAATGGAGTACTAATCAGCAGAGAACAATAATGACATCATGAGGTTTGCAGGCAAATGGATGGAACTAGAAAAAAAATCATCCTGAGTGAGGTAACCCAGACTCAAAAGACAAACATGGTATGTACTCACTCATAAGTGGATACTAGATGTAAAGCAAAGGATAACCAGACTGCAACTCACAACTCCAGGGAGGCTACCTAGTAAAGAGGACCCTAAGAAAGACACAGGGATTGCTCAACAACAGAGAAATGGATGAGATCTTCATGAGCAAACTGGGGGTGAGGGCGTGGATAATGGAGGGCAAGGGTCAGGGGAAAGAGAGCTTAGGAGAGTGAGAGGTCACAGCTGGATCAGGAACAGTGTGGGAGAATAAGGAAAGAGATGCTAAGATAAATGAAGACCCCATGTGAATAGGAAGAAGCAGAGTGCTAGGGAGGTCCCCAGAAATCCACAAAGATATCTCCACAATAGCCTACTGGCAATGGTTAAGAGACAGCCCGAACTGACCTACTCTGGTGATCGGATGGCTGAACACCCTAACTGTCATGATAGAACTCTCATCCAGTGACTGATGGAAGCAGATGCAGAGGTCCACGGCCAAACCCCAGGTGGAGCTCCAGGCGTTCAATCGGTGAGAGAGAGGAGTGATTATATGAGCAAGAGATATTGAGACCATGATTGGAAAAAGCACAGGGACAAATAGCCAAACTAGTGGAAACACATGAACTGTGAATCAATAGCTGAGGAGCCCCCATGGAACTGGATCAGGCCCTCTGGATAAGTAAGACAGTTGATTAGCTTGAACTACTTAAGAGGCCCCCAGGCAGTGGGACCAGGACCTGTCCTTAGTGCATGAGCCAGCTTTTTGGACCCTAGGGCCTATGCTGAGACACTTTGCGCAGGCTTGGTGTAGGGAGGAGGGGACTGGACCTTCCTCAACTAAATGTACCAGGCTGTGCTGACTCCCCAGGGGAGCCCTTGCCTTGGAGGAGGTGGGAATGAGGGGTGGATTGGGTGGGAAGGCTGGGGGTGGATTGGGTGGGAAGGCTGGGGGTGGGAGGAAGGAGGACAGGGGAATCTGTGGCTGATATGTAAAATTAAATTAACTATAAAATAAAAATATTCAAAAAAAGACACGTGGATCAATGAAATTGAATTGAAGACCCTGACATTAATCCACACACATATGAACATATGATTTTCGACAAAGAACCCAGGAATCTTAATAACAATAAGTGTTTTAACCACTGAGAAATCTCTCCTATTTCCAATATAATATTTCAAACAAATGAAAAGAAGTCCTGAAAAGATTGAGAGATTTATCACATTTATGAACATGAAATTTGTCTAATGAGTCTATAAGTTGTGTCATTATAATACATTATTAATAATAAAATATATTAAGGACATTGCAAAATCATCTAAGATTTATATAGAGTATAAAATGGATCATGTTCTGATGAGGAAAATTTCAAGGATCCTTCACCTTTTTAATTCTCTTTTAAAGGATTAAACTAGTCAGGAGAGTTGTCTCAACCCTTAAGAGCACTTATTGCTGTTTTTGCACTTTATTGCATTTTATTATGTTTCAGGAGGACCAAGGTTTGGATCTCAGGAACCATATGGTGGTTCAAAACTGTCTGGGAGTCAAGTTCCAGGGTCCCTTACACACTCTTCTGACCTCCATGGACCCAAGATATACATGTGATGCACATACATACATATGTTTACAGTCAACACATTAATATACCTATTTTTGTAAAGAGAGTTAAACAACTTACCTAGAAAGACCAGTTCACATCATTATCTTCAGAACTTCTGAATATTACTTTATTTGAAGCCAAATCTTTTCCTGATGTAATAAGAAGGGGATAATGAAATGAGGAAATTGTTTTGGATTGCTTGGGTGGACAATGAATCTATGACAAATGTGCATATAGATGTGAATTAAGAGGCTATTACACAGAAGAAGAGAAAACCTTGTAAAGCTGGAAATAAAACCCTGGAGTCATTTAGACACGAGCTAAGAAAAGCTTGTGGCCCTCAGAAGCAGGACTGTTCATGGAACAAAACCTCACTTGCAGACTGTCAGGCAAGTGGTGCTGACCACACATTAATTTTGTGCATCTGGTCATTATGAAAGAATAAATTTGTTTGAAGCCAACAAGTTTACAGTATAAAGGTTGCAGAAGCAAAAGAACACAAAGATGTTCCTCCAGAGGCCATATCATTCAGAAAAGTGTTAGCAAGTAAAATATTGTTCTGGAAGAAAATTGAAAACTTAATTATCAATTATATATAAATTTACCTTCCAATAAAGGTGGTTATTTATATAACTATTGTAAATACTGTATATCAAATAAAATGTAATGGAGGAGTTTTAAAAAATTAATTCCAAACTTAAGTATAGCACACAAGCAATACTGTAATGGGTTAAAATGTATATGTTTATATGTTGTACTTTGGGTGCAAGAGTGGGATTCTTAATCAAAGTACAAACCTCAGAAGCTATAATAAAGAATAAGTGATTTACTGGCACTCAGTATGATGATCTCAAGGTTACAGGGAAGAGTAAAAATGAAAGGAACAGGAAAGACAATCTAGAAGAAGTTGGAGGAATGTGAACACTATTTTAAACAACTTTGAAATACAGTTTGCTGTTACCTAGTCAACGGAACATGTATATACCTTCAACTCAGCATATCCCCTCCTAGGTATACCTAATAGTAACTCTTGAAAGATTCAAAGTGTAACTCAGTGGCAGAGCTCTTGCTTGTCTTGTTTCAATACTCAGTACTACAAAAATTCTTTTTCACATGCACATTCAAAGAGATATGATAAATTTTGCACACATAAATACATGAGACAAGCCAAATGTCTGTTAACCATTGTGACACAGTCTACAATCTGAATGAAAACAATTACTTTGACATTTACCAACACTGTGATCTGTAATAATGTAACTTTAGGCAAAAAAGCAACTAATAGGGGATTTAATGTTATGTGTCAATTTTGCTGGTTCATAATATGTCCACATATTTGTCCTAACATTATTCAGATGTATGAAGATGTTCTGAGGAGACAGTACTATTTAATCTGCCTTATTAATCATGAATAAAATTGCCTTCTATATGCTAGATAAGCCTTATCTAATGACCTGAAGGATTTAATAGATAAAAACAACAACAAATCATCTTCACCTGATCAAGAAAGAATTTTCCAGAAACCTCTCTTTGGGCATTGTTTACAATATCAATTTTTCCTATTTTATAGTAGTCAGCCTTTATATCTGAACTGGAATATCAGTTCTTTCGAGAATCCAGATGGCCTAGCTTTCTACTGAAACTACAACCGAGCCTTTTCTGAGTGGCTAGCTACTGATCTATGCAGCAGATTTAGAGCATCACATCCTTCAATACCCTATTCAAAAACCTCCTTCTATAAAATCCAACATTCTTTTGCTTCTGAAGCATCACAACTAATATGATACTCTATGATTTCATTTACATAAAATCACAAAGTAAGTAAAAAATAAGTCATTCTGGAACACATACAAGTGGTAAAACAATACAGAAAAAAAATACAGGGGCTGAGGAGGTGGCTCAGCAGACAAAGTACTTGCTGAGTAAGCATGAGTGTCTCCATCTGGAACCCAATAATTCATGTGAAAAAAACAAGGCATGGAAGAGCACACCTGTGGTACCAGTATTGGTCATGGACACAAGAGGATCCCTGGGGCTTGCTGGCTTACCAGTATAGCTTAAATGGAAAATTCCATGTTCAGTGAGAGACTGTATCTCAAAGTAATAGGTGGAAAATGATGGAAGAAAACATCTAACATCAACATCTGTCCTCCAAAATATATTCCCAGGCAAGTACATTTGCACACACACATAAGCACACACCTCTACCAACACCAACAATAGTTAAAAGATATTAAAAGAGAAAAGAAAGAAGACAAGAAAATAACATTTATGATAATCATGGTACTAGTTACTTCATGAAGGGAAATGGGCCTTTTAAATTACTGATAATACCTCACTTCAAAATACCTCATTTCTGAACCCAGGTGCCAAATTCATACATACATGTTATTTGTTCATCTTTTTTTTTAGCTATGTAGATATATTCTCTTCACAGATACCTAGATCCAGACACACACAGTCTAAAAAGTAAATGTGGAGAACCACAAAGATAAAAATTGACAGCACATAAATCTTGGGCTAATACTAAAGTGGTGAAGGTTAACTTAAACAAGACAATAAATCTCAGAAAGTATGAGAAGAAAGAATAATAGATTCAGCTTTACAAAATAATAGATTTTAAATGATATGATACAAGATATGTAAAGCTGAATGACAGATAATATTCCATATCTTATACTTGACCACAGAGCTCACATTAGTAACAATGGACTTTTTCAGTTAAAGAACTTAAAGAGCCTGACTTTAGGTAGAGTTCTGGGGAAGTCCAAAAACAATAAAGAAGATAAAGAATGTCACTGGAGACACATAAAGATGTTCAGCCTCTCCAGCTAAAACATGAAACAAACTCAATGCTTCACCATGTTCACATGGTGATATTCTCTATAGGGTTACTAGCCTCATTTTCTGTTACACCGTGTATACAACATATAAAATTTTCACATGCAGAAAAATCACAGAGAATGTTCTAACATAAGAAACAGTGTGAACAGTTTATGTATGCATCTGACCATGCTCTGATATGACACATTTATTACAGTTGATCAGAATTTTACAACAGTAGTAACTAATGTGTTAAGGGCATAGATTGAAAATGCAAACAGCATTCATGAAGAGGCAAATAGGCAGAGACATGGAGAATCCAAGAATATGGAAAAGAATTAGTAATCATAAATTTCTCTGGCAGGTAAAGATAAAATAATAAAAAACAATCAGCTGTGGGACAATTGTAAAAATGTTAAACATATTCATAATGGGAATATAAGGAGCTTATAGAACATAGCACATGACATTGAAGGGACAGTATTAAGAAATGTATGTGTATTTTATGAAACTTATTCCTGGGGAGACATGAACTACCCCCAGACAGAGAACTGATAACAGATCAAACTGTGGATACCAACTAAGGTCAACTTGGTGAACCACTGCGTTTTATTGGAGTTATTTATAGGAATACTGGTGAGTGGTTGCTTACAGAAGTAGAAATAACTCAAAGGCAGTGGCATTGCTGAAAGCACACTGGCATATGCAGTACCTCACAAAGCTGGAGGCCTGAAGTGCACTGCAAACCCTGCTGGCAGCTCAACAGGTTGAAGCACGTTCTTTACAGACAGCCCAGTTTGTCTGAAACTCCCCAAGTCAGTTCATTTTGTCTGTGATTTTTCCAGGTACCTTGGATGTTCTGAAAATGTCATTTAGCTGTTCTTACTGCTTATGTATGCTTGGATAATGAGGGACTTAGAAAACCTGGTTATTTTCAATAAATGAAGCTATTGAGCTTTTTGCTTACTGATCTTAATGGAGTTTCCTACAAGATGAAATGTTCTGCCTCCCTTTAGAATAGCCTGTTGCTTCACCCTATCATCTTTGAACACCATGTTTCCTTTTTTTATATATTGAAAATATATTCTTTTCTCATACTATACAGTCTGAGCACAATTTCCCCCACCACCACTCCTTCCAGCTACTCCCTCCCCCTCCCCTCTCCCTCAGATTCACTCCCTCTCCGTTTTTTTCTTCAGAAAAGAGCTGACCTCTAAGAGACAACAGCCAAACATGACAAAATAAGAAACAATAAGACAAGGCAAAAGTACCACATCAAAGCTAGACAAAGAAACTCCATAGGAGGAAAAGAGTCTCAAGGAAAGGCAAAACAGTCAGAGGTACGCCCACTTCCACTGTTAGAATTCTCATAAAACACCAAGCTAGCAGCCATAACATATATGCAGAGGACCCATGCAGGACCTGCGCTTGCAACTTCAGTCTCTGTGAGCCCATATGAACCCTACCTAGTTGATTCAGTGGGACATGTTCTTCTAGTGTCTCCATCCTTTCTGACTCCTACAGTCTTTCCTCTTCCTCTTCTGCGGGGTTCCCCAAGCTCCAAGGAGAGCCCAGTGGAGCCCTCCAATTTATACTCTTTCAGCATAATGTTTGGTTATGGAGCTCATACCTGCTCCTATATGCTGCTGGGGGAATTCTCTTTGGTGATGATTGAACAAGCTACCCTATTGAGTATAGCAGAATATCATTAGGAATCATTTCACTTCCTTTTTTGCTAATCATGTTTGGTCTTCACTACGTCTCTGTGTTATCCAGTCTCTCATATCCAGTCTCAGAGTAGGATATGGGCTCTTTCTTGTGGCATGGGCCTCAAGTTAAACCAGATATTGGTTGGCCACTCTCACCTGCTTAATGTACTGGGGCAATGATGACACAGGCAGGACATCCTGTTTCTTATGGAACTCCCCTGCAGGATGGAATTCTCTCACCTTTCTTCAGAACATCTTCTGTCATAATGACCTTCCCTCCAAGGTGGAAGCTTGGCACAGCAGTGTAGCTAAAGTTTTCCTGCCTGGCCCACAGTCAGGACAAATCTCTCTCACCTGCCAGTCCCACAGCCACTCAGACACAACCAAGTAAACACAGAGACTTATATTGCTTACAAACTGTATGGCCGTGGCAGGCTTCTTGCTAACTGTTCTTATAGCTTAAATTAATCCATTTCTATAAATCTATACCTTGCCACATGGCTCGTGGCTTACCGGCATCTTCACATGCTGTTTGTCATCATGGCGGCTGGCAGTGTCTCCCCCACCCAGCTTCCTGTTCTCTCAGTTCTCCTCTCTGTTAGTCCCGCCTATACTTC